CATAGTTAACAGAGGATCCAGGAGTCTCTCCTGGCTCCAAAACCAGGTCTTTTCCTACTCTACCAAGCAGGTTCCAAAAGTGCACTCTGTCAACCAGAAAGTACTATATCTTAATTACCATTACTATTCCTTAACTAGTCCCATCTGGTGTTAGGCGGCATTAAAAGAAGCATGACATCCAGGATAAGGGAAGTAATGGTCCCTGAGCAAGCTGTAGTTGAATATTTGTGTTCAGTTCTGGACACTACATTTTAGAGAGAATACTGATAAACTGAAGAGCATCCAGAGGAAGGCAGCAAGGATAGGCCTTGAGATAATGATGATGATGATGATGATGATGATGATGATGATGATGATGACAATGATGGCATTATTGCAGTTAGCATTTACAGAGAGATTTAAGGTTTGCAAAGCACTTAACATACATGATCTCATTAGATCTTCACAATATAGGTGCTATTATAATACTCGTTTTATAAGTGAGGAAAGAGGCACGGAGAAAGTGACTTGCCCAGGGGTCACACAGCTAGAAAGCGTCGGAGACAGGACCGTGATTCTAGTCTTCCTGACTCCACACCCAGTGCTTTCTTCCCTACACCAACAAGCCTTATGAGGGATAGTTGAAGGAACTGGGAATATTCAGCCTAAAGAGAGGGCTCACTGGGAACTAATAGTTGTCTTGAACAATCTGAAGGGCTGTTGTTCTGCTTGCCCCGAGGGTAAGACTAGAAACAATAGGTGGAAACTGGAGAGAGGTAGATTTAGGTTGGAATAAACAGCCTTTTCCTTTTCCCAAACCACCAGGGCCAGCCATTCAATGGGAATGTCTCTCGCATTCGGGTTTAGGGAATGGACTTTGACCTCCACTACCAAAAGACCACCACTACCTTTCTCACTCTCACTGAGGTTTCCACTGGGATTTCCTGAGAAGCAAACAAAAGAGGAATTTAATTGAAGGAGAGGAGAGAGTAATGAAAAGAGGGAACCTCGAGGTCTTTCCAGCCACCTTCCTAAAAATCCCCATTCTGGTGAGAATGCTGTGTAATGAGCCTGTTTCTTCTTAAATTTCCATCAGATGCCCTTGGTGCCTGAAAATCTACGGTCAAGTCCAGTTCAGGTTTTTAACATCAGAAAAAATAGAAATGGGGAGAGGTGTCTAGCTTCTCTGGGTTACTGCAGGGATGTACAGAACAAGGTTAGTGAATCAAATTCCTGGCTTCTTTCTTAACTGACTTGGACGTTAAATTTCTCCACCATTGGCAGCAGGGCATTAAGAGTTATAGGGGGGAAAAAGAAAGAAAAAATTACCAAAAAAAATCCTACATAGGAAGTAATACTACTAAATACAGAATATTGTTTTGTTGTAGGGGAGAGGATTTAACCATCTGATAAATGCCACTATCCATTTCACCGCAGTGCTAATGCAAGGGAAAGCAGACAGCTCAAACTATCCTGAGCTCCTCTTGGGGGAACAACCATGTATTACATGCCAAATATATGCCAAGCACTGTGCCAAATACTTTATGAATATTGTGTCATTTCATCCTCACCACAACCCTGAGAGGTGGGTGCTATTGTTAACCCCATTTTACAGTTGAGGAAACTGAGGTAGACAGAGGTTAAGTGAGTGGCTCAGAACCAAACTCCTAGCAAATGTCTGAGGCTGGATTTGAACTCAGGTCTCAATCAGCTCAGGCCACATGATCTCACCTCAGTCCCTCGAAATCCCAAACAAGGGCATTTCTTGTTTCCCCTGGACTTCCTCATACTTACTCTAAAAGACCTATACCCAAAAACTCCTCCAAGTCCTATGAATCTTCCTCCATTCTGACTAAACTCTTTTAATCTGACTCCATGAAATTTTCATCCCAGGCTTCTTCCATTTTATTCATCAGCACCTCTTTAATATAAGCTCCCTCTGTCCTATTCCCCAAGACATCTCCTCTACCTATCCTTCCTCCTCCACCCCACACACACACCCTACTGTAGTGCAAAAGAAGGGAACCCCATTTCTGTGGCTAACATTTTTAAGGACAGGGCTAAGGTCCAGACTCATCACATCATGTCTATGATCTAGGCTCAACCACCATTAAAAAAAAAAAAAAAAGAATATCTCCTATGAGAAGTAAAGGGAATAAATTTTCAAAATAGGACCAGCTTCCAGGAGTCCACACATGCCCAAGGTCAATATTGAAATAAAGTTCATTGTTACCAGACTCAGTTTGAATTGACTATTTATCTGGCTTCACAGCAGGCACTGGTTTTGGGAGGGGATAAAGGAAGCAGAATTGACTGCAATGGTAGCATACTTCAGCTTTCCTGCAGAATCTGCCAACACATCCCAAGGGATCAATTCCCCACCCCTTTCCTCTAGCAACTAAGACAGCCTCTGTTCTCACCGCCAGGGCCTGGCACCTGGTATGTGATGAGGCTTTAAAGGGACCTCCTGCCCTGAAGAGATGATTTAAGACCACCCAAATTGGTACGCGCCCTATAGCTTCCATCAGGCAGGATCCCAAAGGATTTCAAATGTAGAACCTGTCTTCTGATAGATGTAGAGAAATGGTGGGGAAAGGATTAGGGGGATAGGGTTTGTGTGAAGTAGGGGCCAAGTGATCAATCATCTGTTCCCATCAACTGACCTGGCAAGTGGGAGAAGGTAAAAAGTGAGGATATTCTGCAAACTTGTTTAAAAAATGATTACAATTTTGATTACCTACCCATGCATCTACTAGTATCCCTATTCCCCCTAACTTCTCTGACCTCCACAGATTTCATCTTAGAGGGGCAAATTCCCAGACAGGTTGTGAGTGAGGCTCTGGGCACAATGACACATGGTTTTTGGATCACACCATCCTAGCTCCCGCCCCCTCACTGGGCTGGCTGTTTTCAGTGCAGTAATAGGAGATTGCAGCTAATCTACCCTCTCTGTTCAGGTAACAGTAACTGAGTGGGAAAAGTGGAGACGACCTGACTTTGGCTCCTCAGCTCTCTTTGTACACCCAGTCTCGGGCGACGAAAAACACAAAGACTACCGCTCCAGTTAAACACAGGGCCCCAGAATTTAGCCTGGGTTGATTGGCAGCTGTCATATAATCCCAATCTAGAACTACATCTATTGGGCTTTCTTAAAGTCTGCAGCCTTTCCCATTCTACAGCAGGATCTCTCATGTTGTGTGTATGTATATGTGCACTACTGTGTTTAAAACATATTTCAAATCAAATTCCAGATGAGCAGTTTTTATTAAGGGGAGAATGTGGAGAAATGTGTTTTCATGCTGATTCTCCTAAACTGATTCCAACCAGGAGACCTGAAGAATTCAACAGCAAAAGGTGGAGAATGCTGATTTGGCATCAAGGGACCCACTGTCTCTAGGTCAATTTCATGGGATTATATCTTCTCCTTCAAAAGTCCTCTGAGTTTCAAGGTCCCAGACAGTCCTATCCCTTTCCTACAACTCCAAGGTTGCAAGGAGAAGGCACCTTCTGGGAAAACTGCCCTCTATCATTTCCTTTTTGATCTACAGGTGCCAGTAAACAAAGTGCTGCATCAACACTGGCCCAGGAGCCTGTCTGCACAATCCCTGCAACTTCCTCCCCACCCCCAGCCCCTCCTTCACTGCAAAGCCCTGACCAAGGGGAAACTGGGGACTGAGTAGAGTGGAGAAAGAAAGCATCTCCCCTCTCTCCTCCAATGTGCTCCAGTCCAAGCAGGCCCTCGGTTATTCAGGTTCCTTCTCAAACCTAATCCTCTTACTCTGATTCAGATTTTGTCCTTTATCTAAGCCTGGTTCTCTCATCAAAGACTGAAAATACAAAATGAGGCCCATGGCTGTCACCTACCTACATCAGGCCCTGAGCAAAGGAGCCCAGGATGGCCCAGGGAAGTTTCCCTTCCCCCACACATTTTCAACCCCATTACCTTATCCTAGTTGTTCCAGTGAGCAAGGATTACCTCTCCCTCCACTCCCCTAGCCAAAGAGGGGTTACCAACAGAATAGACCCCCTCTGGCCCTTCTTACTTCCGTTTGAGCAAAGTCTCTCAGTCTATTTGAGGGGCTGGAAGGCACAACGCAGAGTCTGAGGTTGGGCATTCAGGAAAGGGCAGGAAACTACGACTTCACAAAAGAAGCAGGGGAGAGAAACCTTAGCGAAGAAGAGACAATCTTCTTTCCTCTGCTCTCTACGACCACCCCCATTTCTGCTGTCCCTCCTGAAAAAGAAAATAACTCTCCATCCTCATTGGCGAAGATGAGGAAAGACCTTCCCGTGATCTCTTCCCCATTGTCCCCTTCCTCTAACCCTAAATGGCCCCAAGGACTGCCCCCACCCCTCCCACCGGTGTCCCCTTTTGCCCTAGATCCCAGACCCCCACCCTCAAGGGGCTGAATCTCTGGGGTTCTCCAGGACGGGAACGAGGGGCCGGCGCCGGGTCTTCCCACCTCCCTCTCCTTCAAGGAGAAGAGTAAGGGTGAGGGTCACCCCCAGCCCCGCGGGGGCTGAGGAGCTGCGGCGGTGGCGGCGGCGGCGAGCTGGCAGCTTGGCAAGAGCTCTGGGTGTATGTTGTTTACTCTCACTGCCGAGGCAATTAGGAGGCTCTGCCGCGAAAGCTGCTGGCTGCAACACGCCGCCGCCGCTCCCTGGCTCCTGGCTCCCGGCTCCCGGCTCCCTGGCTCCCGGCTGCCAACCTCTCGGCCGCTCCGGCTCTGCACCAAACCCCCCTCTCACGACCTGGTGCCCTGGGCCGCCTCCACTGCTGCAAAACCCTCAGCTACTCTACAAGCCCACTCCCATCGCCCAGCTTCAGCCCGGTGCACCTGAAATCCCCATCTCTTCCCTGCTCCAGGACGGCTGGAGCCGGGAGCCGGGCAGGGTCCTCACCTTCCAGCTCATCCCGGCTGGTCCAACCTGGTTCTCTCCTCCCTACCCCACCCCACCCCACCCCACTCTACCCCAGATCAGTCCAACGCCGCCGCGAGGCTGCGGCTCTGCAGACTCACGTCTCGGAAGCGGTTCCAGTGCTTGATCTTGCCGCTATACTGGGAGATGGACGACAGCCATTGCTCGTCCTCCATGAAATTGCCAGGGGTCTCGCCATCCTTGACCCCCTTAGAATCCCCCTCCGCCGAGCCGGGTGCAGGGGCGGTGATGAGCAGAAGGGGTAGCAGCAGCAGCCGCAGCCCAAAACCCCCAGAGCTCATCTTTGATCTGGATTGGGGTTGGTTAGTCTTTGTTTTATTTTTTGTTTTTGTTTTTTAAATTTTCTTTGCCTTAATTTCCTTCCCTCTCCCTCTCCCACCCCAATGCAGTCCAAAGTCGTCTTCTCTCCTCCTCCTCCTCCTCCACCACTGAAATGACTGGGGAAAGAGATGGATGGTAGGTCCTAGATGAAATGTGACCTGATTAGGAGATGCACTTGTCTGAAAACCCCCAGAGCTGGAAGCAGAAAGGCAAAGAGAATCAGAGGCTGCGCCAGGAGGGGCTGTGTCTGTAACTGTAGCATCAGCATCATGTTTGACATCATCATACCTGGCTTGAGGAAAAAAAGGGGGGGAGGGGAGGAAGAGAGGGGAAGAGAGACTGAGACTGAGATACTGAAATAGTGAGACAGAAAACAGGAGCCCAGAAAAACTACAGGCTGCGATTTCCAAGCAAATGGGCGGATCAGAAAATCAAACCTCAGCAACAGTTCAGCCCAACTCAGCTCACAAATGGAGTTGAAAACAAGGGAATCCAAGTCCCACAGAGGGCACTGCACTGACAAAAGAGGACGCAGGGGGCAAGGCCCATCTTCCCAGCAAGGTGGGATTCTGGAAGAAACCATGGGGGTTTCTAGACCTTGTAAAGGGATATTTTGTTCCAGTTCTCCTTTTCTCTTTTTCTCCTTTTCACCCCAAGTCCAGATTTCTAAGACTAGAGCTGTCTCTAGGCCAGGTAAGCCTCAGCGATGGCCCTGGGTATGGCAGCTGGGTTCAGCTACATTATGGTAATGAGGGACTCCAATAAGACAAAAGGAGTCTAAGAGCTGGTTGTTGGCCTTCAGACTCATACGCTCTTTTCAAGGCACATGGGCTAGAAACTGAATGGATGGAAAACAGGGCAGATGTCCTCCCTTCCCAAGCAGCTGGTTGGGGACTATCAGTCCTTTTGTCAGCTCTCTCCAAGACAATTCTAAAAGGCAAAAGTCTGCCCATTTCACATGCCAAGAGGCTGCTTCCTTGGTATTCTAGATGGTCATATTTCCTCATTGTCCTTATTGGACTTTACCTCAAATTGGATATGGTGAACCATTAATTTACGGAAGGGAGGGGGAGCTTGAGCATATTCTGTTGTTTTTCTTTCAAAAAAGAAAATCCCAAAATTGATCAATTATATACATACATATTTTATTTATTTATTATGACCCCTGTAAATTGCTTGTTGGAATCTGGGAAAGCAGGAATCTGAGCACCACCGCAGGATAAGAGGAGGAATAAGGTGATATTTACAATACAAATAAATTGAAAAAGAAAGCAGATAATCTAGCAGCATAAAACATGTTAACTCTCAGGACTCAATTACATTTTCCTAACTTCCATCATGACCTGAAAAAAAAATTGAACAAAACTGACAAACATGATCTCAATCTTTGGAAAGAGAAAAAAACACAGATTAAGATTTTTACTTTTAGCCTGGGTTTGGTCTGCTTTCGAATTAAATATGAATACTTCAGTGGTCTGGACTGGAATCCCATTGGAAAAGCAGAAAACAATAGATCCATTTATGAATTTTATTTATTTTTTTGCCAATTTAATTAAGAGGTGGTACTGGATTAAGGGTCCTAGGCATTGATCCCTTCATCTAATCCCAACTAAAGAAGTCATACTCTGTCTTGGCAGGGAAGGGGCAGACTGTGAATCCATACAATCCTTAAGATCACTGACCCACTCAGTCACTTAGTTCTATCAGTGGCTTTGCTTTTCAGTAAGCAATACTAAACCCATTTCAGTACATGTCAGCTCCCCAAATGTTAAACTGCTGACATACTGGACTGAATCTGAGATGGGAATTCTAGATGTCATAGTTCTTCTCCAATATATTCCAATCTTAAATGAAACCCCTTCCCAGAATGGTGTAAGGAGCAACAGTCCAGATGTGGGTCTGGAAAGGCCAACAAGCCACCCCATCAAGAAACGTGGGGCCAGGTACTCAAAGGCCATATTTCCCATAATCCTCTGCACAGCTCTGTAACGATGACCTCCCTTTTAAAGGGTCTTTAAGCTAAATCAATATGAGTTCTATGCTGAAAGCAAGTAAATGATCAAGGTTTTTAAATAAGCCAGAACCAAAGTTGTAAAAGAAAAGAGGTTTCATTTTTCCAGATTGGTTTGGAATTGGGGGTGGAGGGGAAAAGATGACACAGGATGAGTGACAGAAAGCCTCACAAAATGGCTAGTAGTTTGGTTTTAAAAGGAAAGAAAACACTAGAATTTTCTGTAAGAGAGGCTGTTCAAACTAATGAACCAATTTGTGTCCTAGAAGGAAACAAATGTGACCATTTTCAAAACTTGCTCGGTTGTTACTATTTCAGGTTTTTACAACGTACTTGAAGGTTTAACTAGGAACCTGACCAAAGCATCTGGTACCCTTTTCAGGTACTCCTGGAACAAGAAGCATGAGACTAAATTTGAACTATGTTTAATAAAATTTCTACATGATTTCAAACGAAGCAAAATAATAAAACTTTACACTGAAACATGGTCAAGAAAAGAAAAATATACTAGAGTCCATGTTCAAGATATTGATCACTATCTATCAAAAATACCAATGAAGTTCTTACCAAGCATATGGAGTTTATTCCATGGACATTATCAAAGAACTTCTGGGAAATCCCAAATACACTGTAGCACTACATATCATGACCATTCAAGATTGGTGATAGATTTCTCTAAACCTTTTATGGTCAGTTAGATCCTGGAATTGTGGGTAAAGTCAGTGATTCAGAATACAAAGTTGTACTTTACACAATTTATTCACATCTCCACAGAGTATGAATTACAAGGTGACAATGCTAATAGGGGAAGTGAGATCATATACAAAATACCAACCTCTTCAAACAAAGTCATGATGTGATGAGAAGGGGACCTCTGAATCTGGAACACGAATTTTTGGCATCCTCCACAAAGATGCTTTGGGAGCTTCCTTATGTCACTACTTTAAAAACAAAAAACAAGTTCTTACCAAAACTACCAGTCACTCTCCTTTCTGAAGTAGCAGTTCTACTTACTATTCCCAAAAGAATGCTGGCTTATTAACGCTCCTTCTAGTTAAAGGAAAAGCGGATCAACAACCTTTTAGAAGGGAACTGCAAAGACAAAAACTGTGTGGTATTCTGTTGGGATTTTAGTATTTACTATAATTTCTCTCATGAAATATATTTTAGGTTAATGACCAAAGCCTAAGAACATTATTCCACATAGTTCATACCTGACACATAATTTGACACCTTAAGAATGCTGAAAAGGTTTTTACCAACTAGATAACAAGCTGAGGATAAGGATGGGTAGGGAATAAACAGGTAATAATCATATTTGTTAAGAAAGAACTCAAGAGAACAAGATCAGTGCTGGGATAAAGGAAATGAACTCTAAACTAAGCCTAACTAATCAATCAATACTATCCCTCCAGTGAGTTCCTATTCCCACATGCCATCGAAGTAGTGATGAAGGAATAATCTGTATTTAGGTAAGATCTAAATTTAATATAAAAATAAGTGTTATGAAAACCAACTTCTTTGCAAAACGGGGAAGGGAAGAGAAAAAACAAAATAAAATAGCCCATGTACAGACTGGACCACAGAGTCCCTAGATACAAAATTAATAATAACTAACATTTCTATAGCACTTACTATGTACCAGATACTGTGGATGAAAGCATTTTAATACTAGTTTTATTTTTTATGTTTTTATTTTTTAAAGTAATATTTTATTTTTTCCCATTACATGTAAAGATAATTTTTAACATTTATTTTTTAAAACTTTTGAATTCCAAATTTTCTCTCTCCCTCTCTTGCCTACCTCCTCCAAGACATAGTAAACAATCTGATACAGGTTACACATGTTTAATCCTGCAAAACATATACCACATTAGTCATGTTGTGAAAGAAGCCACAGGCCCAAAGAAAAAGAAACATACAAAAAATACAGAAAGTGAAAAATAGTATGCTTCAATCTGCATTCAGACTCCATCAGTTCTTTCTCTGGAGGTGGACAGCATTTCTCATCATGAGTCCTTTGGAACTGTCTTGGACCACTGCATTGCTGAGAATAGCCAAGTCATTCACAGTTGGTCATTGTGTATGCTTATGATGATTGTGTATGTATGTGATATTGTTATTATTGTGTACAATGCTTTCCTGGTTTTGCTCACTTCACTGTGCATCAGTGTAAGTCTTTCCAGGTTTTTCTGAAATCAGCCTGCTCATCATTCTTATAGCACAGCAATATTCCATTAAGATCATATACCATAACTTGTTTAACCATTCCCCAATTGATGAGCATCCCTTCAATTTCCAATTCTTTGCCACTACAAAAAGAGCTGCTATAAATATTTTTGAACACTAGTTTTTTGTTTTATTTAAGTGATAGTTTTCTAAACAAAAGCAAAGTCAGAACAAAGTCAGACATGAAAAGGATGTTTAGAAACACTAAGGAAAAAAGACACATTTAGTTTTGGAAATTACTTTATTCACAAATAAGCTAAAGAGTTACATTATTCTATAACTCTAGAAGCATTCCTCATATGTTAAGAGACCTTGTTAAAAAATTAGTAGTTGGACTTTGGGGAAAAGGAGGAAGGAGTGAGAAAAAGGATATTATGGGAAGACTTTGGAGGAAGTCTTCATCATTCACCTCAAATATAGCCCCCAAACTTCTGAGTTCCCCTGAGAAAAAAAAAAGGAAAGGAACTTGGAGTGAGGGAAGGGGTGAAAGAGAAAAACAAATTAACAATCAGTACACCTACATAAGAAGGGAAGATTGGGATGGGACAAAGCCAGAGCTATGAGCACTTCTCCCTCTGCTGGTCTGCAGCAAGAAGTGAGCAGGTTCTAGCACTGACATTCTCCCAGGGAACTTTAGCACAGTTCTGCTGATATCATCAATGTTTTCACTGCTGCTGTCCACAGAAATGAATAAAAGCCACCACACTGACTGCAGTTCCATTAGATACAAGGGGTTGGGTAAAATGAAGATCTGAAAAAGAAATGTAAAGGTATCAAACTTGCAGGAAAGAAAAATTCTTCAGCATCGTGGAGAACAAGAACAAACTTTTCATTTTAAATCTTAAAATATTCTCTCCAGTAACTGTATAATAGTTAGATATTAAGACCTAAAGTGGTAAACAAAGCAAGTGAGACACCTAAAAGGGAAAGGCTTTCAAAAGGGTACAATCATTTTGCTGAAGACTGTGAATCTTTAATATTTTCAAAGCACTTGTACTAATTCTGGGAAAACCCAATGAATAAAAGCAAAATCAGTCAAGTTAAATGGAAATGGGGACTGAAGGAGGGATTCATAATTTAAGATTAGGCAACCCAAGAAAGAAAGGTCCATAATACATGTTTAATAATTTTATTATTTAATACATCATTTACACATGTGTCATTCTGAAGGGCCCCAGAAATTCATCTGTAGAGATGGACTTTGGAAAAGAAGGTGGATCTTGCTGGCAATTGAGAGGTTAAGGTCTCTATGTCCAATTTTTGCTTCACCTACTTCGGCAGTCAGGTTGGTAGCTATGGATTTACTTGAGAGGCCATGCCAAATCTACTTTCCATGGACCTACCCTAATAAGCTATTGCTTCACATTTCCCTAGACTCTACATCATCCTTGCTAAGTAAAACAAGGATAATCCCTTGGACACTTGCATCATGAAAATATTCAACATGTAAACATATAAAAGAAAGAAATACAGCACCTCAAGAGAAGTCAATTTGCCCGGAGGAAGCATAGTATCCAGAGCTGTCTGTGGAGAATCTTTGAGAGATGTGAACTGAATTGAGGCACAGATCCCCAAAGCTGAAGTTTTCAAAAAGCTGAAAGAAAAATCAGAACCGAGAATGAGCTCTCTTAGAAGAGAATCAAAGCAACTTCTAGGTGAAAAGACAACGCCCGAATGCCCACAGGGACAAAATAAGAAACTACAACAACCCTCAACAAGTTTCAGAAAGCGCTCACTGCTCAATCACAAACCCAAGCAAAACTCCCTTCTACAACCTATCCTCCCAAAGCAGTCACTCTTTCTGTCCTTGGAGATCTCAAGTGAAGGGTTGGGGGCACCCACAACCTCCAGAGGCCATCCATTCTGCTTTGAAATTCTTAAGGAAATGTGTCTTTCCATCAAGTCAAAGCCTGACTCAACAACTTCCATCCACTATGAGGCCAAGCAGAATTCTAATTCCTCTTCTACCAGAAAGTCCTCTTAAATACAGCTGTCACATCCCCACCAACTCTTTCAACTAATACTCATATGACATGACACATAGGCTCATCCATCATTGCTCACTCTCTAGCTTATCAATGTCCAGAACAGAGTGCAATGCTCCCAATGTAGTCTAGACATTATGTCCTCCTTAATACAGCTTAACTACATTATCTCCATTGGCTATCACACTTATGACTTCTATTGAGTCCACCTGCTTGTTTCAACTTCATGCTTTCTTCTTCTCAGCATGTATGAAATCTCTAATTCTTTTTTTACATGTATCAACAAAAAATACTAGGTAAAGATGATTGGAAAACCCAGTTTCATTTTTAGCCACAAAGCAGATACAGTCATCAGGGCTTCTAGCACAGTTACCACTAATGGGTAGGGTGAGGGGAGGGTTAAAAATTCTCAGCACTAATTCAGAAAGACTGTCACTGTGCTTTTTTAATCACTACCTACAAAGAGCAAGGTCTTCCTGACACTAACCGCTATGAAGCCTTTCTAGTTCAATTCAGACATATTTGCTCTGTGACCCTGGACTAGTCTCTCAACCTCACAGAATCCTAGGCAATTTATCAAAGACTAAGCTTCAGGACAGTTGTTGATCTGCGTTGCTAGAGGGAATTTCATCCCCAGGAGTTCTCTTCACCTATGAAATCACAAGTTCAGATCAAATATATCTACAAATACCTCCTAAAATACCAGCTGGAATGACAATTAAAATGGAGAATTTTGCAAACACATATTGAGCCTACAACATTTATTACATACTTGTAGCAGTAATCCACAACAAGTACAAAAGGAATAAAAGATAAATTGCCATCAAGTACCCCAAACACTTAGTGGAGAACAGAAAGATGTATGCACCCCAAACAAAACAGAATGTCTTTACAGGTTTACGTGGTAACCTTTTCCAAATGTCCTTGATTGGGCACGGATTCAAGTTAGTGTTTCTAGAGGTAAAAGGCTCTTTACTGCAATCTTCCTTTACTACATAAAAGCTTTCAAGTATGTGAAGAAGGGATAAGTCTGATCTAGGAAGGACAAGACCTTTTAACACATGTATAAAGCAGACCCAAAAATTTTTATCAGAATACATCAAGGGAAAGTTCAGCCACACCACTGGGATAAGTAGAGTGTCAAGGAGTAATGTACTCTTCCCATTTCTTTCAGATACAGAAAACTGTTCTCCTTTAGAATGCCAACAGGGCCTTAGGAAAGTCTTTTCATAAATGTACTGCCTGTTCCAATTGAATTCCTAGGCTAATGTTTTAACAGCAATCTAGGTGGTGATGTCTATCCACCGCGGATGAACTGCTACCTCCTCTCATTTGTTTGAGTGTCTACTGAATTTTAGGTCTGTCTCTAAGACACAGGCTCCTGTCATCATCACCTTTTCTCCTCTTGCCACTGATGGCCAAGCAAAGCACCTGGGGTTCACTAAAGGCTGACTTTACAAAACCCAGGAAATATTGATCCTTCTATATGTATGACATCAACTTAACCCCAAAGATCTATTTAGAGTCTGTAGTGCATTGTATCTTTTTTCAGAAAGGAGTCCAGTTCTTGCCTGCATGGATTTACACAATTAACTTCTCTTGCTGTCTTTGGCAGCCAGTACAGATCACATTTACCCGCTTTGTGGAACAAATTCAGCTTGAAATGGCTGCATGCTAATCCTTCTTTGCTGGCCTTTAATTTGATGTGAAAGCTATGTTGGTGATAGATGACAAACTGAACTCTGGACCCAAAGTCTTCCAATTCCATACAGAAGAAGCATAATCAGACACAGTAAAAATAAACAACTCACTTCAACAAGTCACTTGTTGAGAGCTGACATGTCTTTTTCCTATGCTTTGATTTTTCAAGTTATGGATATTCTGAAACAAGTAAAAGTTATACTGGCTCTAGCACAAGTTGCTTTATGCATTTGTTTTTCAAAAGGACATGAGGCTCTATGAAAATTTTCATTCTTAAGTTTCAAAGTTAGTATTAACATCAAGGATGAAGCTAAACAGAATGTGATTTAAAAGAACTGCAGAAATTATGAAAGACTATATTTAAGCCTATTACAACTACCTATGCACTGCGCCAAGCTTTCAGGATCTTTGTCCATTTGAATCCTTTTCTACTTTAACTCCACAGACAACAGCCTATGGACTACTTTCCACATGATTTGACAAACCATTCAGTAATCCAATGGATCTCATCATCTCAAAGTCTGTAGACCAGCATTTATATTAATTTATCTCTATTTTTACCTTCTCATCCTTTAGTGAGTAATTTCCTTTTCTCTTATTCTTTTGTTTGGGTTACAGATTACTTAGCAATAATTGTTCATGGTTATCTTGTAAATGGGCATACTCCATACTATGATGTTTCAATCATTCTTGGTGGGTTAGTCTTTTTGTTTTTTTGTCCTTCCTTTCAGCTTTTCTCTAAAATTTCTATCTTTTGTTTAAATTATGCTATTGGTCACAAGTAGAATTAAGTATTGCAAGTGTCAGTATTACAGTGCTTAGAGAAGAAGAAGAGGTGGACAATATTTACATTGTCCTCTACAATATTTAAGAGTTCAATTTAAAGGGTATGATCTCCTGGAAAATAATCAACACTGGAGAGATGGGAAAGACAATAGGTATAAAATTTTGTATACAATGCTGGATGAGGTCCATGTGTTTGTTGTTTTACTTATCTATTTTGTTTTTTCTGCTACAAGGGAAGACTAATTGGAGTTAGTGGGATATATCTGAAAATAACAGATGTAAAAAACAAAAGTTATCAATGCAACTTTGTCTTCATTCTTCCAGACCTCTCCACAGTTTAAGTCATTGTTAACCACTCCCTTCTTCTGGATACTCCCTGGTTTTTACAACTCTTGGTTTTTACAATACAATTATCCCTTACACATTGTGACTTTCCCCATCAAGGTTTCAACATATCCCAAGTCAGCATAAGAAATTAAGTGGGAATATTTTGGGAGTATTGCAGAAGCAGCAGATGACACAGAAAAGTTGAGAAACTCAGAAATGCATAAAATATATGTATAGTATTATATAATATTGACCCAAATTTTACAATAAGGTACTATGAACATGCCATAAAAGAAAAAGAAAAAAATCAGACTTCTTCTCTGGTACAAAGGGAGGGTCAAAAAATTTTACTCAGATTTTCCATATCTCAGGGGTACCGCCCCCCTTAAACCTCCATGACGTGAAAGGGATAACTGCATTGCTCTCTCATGGTCCTCTTCTTACCTATTTAACTACTCACAGTCATCCATGTTACACCTCTTAACCATGGATGCAATGCTTAACTGCAAGGCTCTCTCCTGGACTATTTCTTCTCCTTTCACTATAGTCTCTCACTGATCTCATTAGCTCTGATAGGTTCAATTATCATATCTACATAGGTGATTCCCAGATATATATACCCAGCCTTAACCCATCTGCTGAGCTCTAGTTCCAAGTAACTAATGGCCTACTGGACATCTCCACTCTTTTTTTTTTTTTTTTTGAGTTACCCAGAGAGATTTTATTCACAAGTTATAGGTGAAACAGGAAAAACAGCAGAAGGATATCTGACCATTTACTTCACTCAAAATGTAGAGACCGTTCATCTTTCCAATCAGGATTCATAATTTACCTTTCTCATCATTTCAGTACTTCTCTCTCTCTCTCTCTCTCTCTCATCCCAAATTAGATAAACAACCTTTAGCCCCTCCCCCATCTGTACAGGGAAGCAACAAAAGACACAAAACCTATTTGCAGAAGACTCTCCTCAGTGGAGACTGATTACTTATGCCCATGATGTCCCACGCCTGTGTGAGGGGGAAGGGCAGATGTGGAGAGAATCTGGGAGAAGAAACATTCTAGTTTTCTCTTTTCCAGCTTCAAGAGAAGACATATGCTTCTAGATTCTCTCTGAGATGAGGTCCCCGAGGGGAGAGAAGATTGGGTTTAAATGAGGCAGACGTGCACAAAGTTGTCATGATGCCTCACTCTTTGAAATTCAGAGTTCTTGAAGTCCGGTGGTAAGACAAAAGTCAGGATGACTGGTCATGACTCGCAGTGGATGATCTTGGTGTCTTTGATGTCTGACCAAATTCTACGCATTCCCCAGCACCTGTTTTAGGGGCCTTCATGGCCCCTGGAACAAAATGTTCTCATCAGGGGAAGTCTTCACATACGTGGGATAGCTATCCTCCTAACTCACTGATGGGTTTGAAGCCTGTTACCCTCAACCTAGTTTAACCCATCTTCTGAGGCTATTTTACAGGGCTGTGGATGATGTACATGCTACAGCTTCTTGGAGCCACAGGTGAGAGTTGCGTGAAAGGTGAACACCAAAGGTGGATAAGCAACCCTGAAAAGGGGCTGGCAAGCCCTCAAACCAGAGAAGTTAGACCTCCCTGAACACCCCAAACAACCTCTGAAACATAGCAGACACCATAAAATATACTCTTTTATTATTAATTATCACTATCATTATTATTGTTACAGTCACAATGAATAGGTTGGTATGGATTGACTGCTGTCTTTTTTTTATTTATTTTTTTTTTATTTTTAACCTGTGTTTTTAAAACTTTGGGTTACAAATTTTCTCCCT